ACCAGAGGATGCGGCGGCGGTGATGGAGATGAGGAAGAGAACCCCAATTCTACCCCACAACCAAGTTTGAATCATGTTAGTGTCATTTTCTTAGTCAAACGGTGGCATCGTTTGAAAAAAATCTCCTATATTTTTTTTCTTATGGTCAAGTGGTGCTACCGTTTAAAAAAATTTCTGGGTCCGTCCCTGTTGGCCGGAGAAGGCGACCGGTGACGGTAAAGTTCACCGGTGAATTTCATTTCAAATTTGTAGTTTACTCTTATTATTATTAGAGTAAACTACAAATTTGGTCCCTTTATCTTGTCGAAAACAACAATTTTCATCCCTTTAGTTATGAAATTACAAGATAAAAAAGGTCCAGATTTTATCCCTCCTAACAACCATTAAAAAATTCTACTAAATGAGGTGCATTTTCGTTTTTAACGATTTTTTGTCTTTTACCCAATCAAAAACTATAGAACCGCAATCATAAAATCGATTTTGATCGAGTCAAAGACAAAACAAATCGATAAAAGAAAAGAAATGCCTCTAATCCGACAGAATTTTTTAACAGCCGTTAGAAAAAGGGAACACGTTTGGACATTTTTGAAAATCACAATGGTCATCTTGTAGTTTGCTCTTATTATTATGTCGACAAACATTTAAATCCATGTATGCATCATTCATCCAAATTATTCAAACTTTGAAATGCGTTAAATAATTTTATAATCGGTTTTTTATTTTTGGAGATCATAACTGTTCGAACCAACGTACGTGCACTTTGATTAATCGAATAGAACCAAGATGATATGAATCTAGAAAGTTTTCAATGGTATTGAGAAGACTCAAATAAGACGTATGATCCTGTTCTATGTCAAACTTCTCTCGTTTATATATAGCCACAAAAGGATTAAATCCAGAAATGGTATCATCATGCCTTTTCATAAACCGAAGGGTTAACAGATGGAAAACTAAAATGTTGTATAGTACACATCTTTTATCTCCAACCCCTTCTGTTGGATGAATTCTTTTTATAAAATTCCGATTTTTCGTTTCATATTTCTGTCCTTTTTGCCTCATATTATCGTCACAACATATCTTGCATCATTTAAAACCTTAGATAAAGATTTATTCAAGGACTAAACCATTCAAATTCATGATTCAAGGACCAAATATGCAAATTAACCAACAAAACCCTCAAGACCATTAATGCAATCAATACAAGTAAATAAAACAATACTAGAAGGATACTCGCGCAATGCAGCAAGATATATCTCGATTTTAATGTTTCGTTTTATTACGTCTCTGTAAATGTTTTAATACGGTGTTTATGTGGTTTTGAGAAAGAGATAATGTTTTTACTTTTAAATAAAATATAAATTGGAAGATATCATAAAATTTCAAAAATAAATATATCAATATTAATATCAAATTAACTATTTAAAGTTCTTGTTTTTTTTGTAATTTTTTTAATTTAATTTTTTATTATAATTTAATTTAGATTTAATAACGAAATAATTTATTTTTGATTCAATAATATATTTTTAGAAGGATAATAATTAATTTTTTTATTAAAACTCAATGATTATCCTAATTAGATTTTATATTTTTATATTTATAATAAAATGTTTATCTTGTATTTGATTATGCTTATTTATAGTTAGTTATACAAATTCAAGTATGAAGCTTTAATAAGTTGTCCTTATGCATAGTTTACTTGTAATCTTAAATTTTAAGTAAAATGCATCATTAAACAATACTTCATATATAAAAAATGGTTTTTAAGAATTTTTGTCAAATGCTTTATAATATAATATAGATTAACTTATCCTAAGTTCATAATTGACATATATACACTTTGTTATATAATATGAGTTGAAGCCATTATTGATTTATTTCTTTAATAACATTTATCCATTTAAAATTGAACTTCAATAAAATACAATTTGGTGCATGGATATGCTAAATTCCAAAAGTGGACCCAATTGGCTGGATTTTATTATGCCATGCACAACATTTTCCATTATTTATTTATTTATTTTGGGATGATCTTTTGTGGATGGGAGCAATTCGACGTATTTATGATAACTAAAAGGGTATTCGCGTAATATAACGAGATATATCTTGATTTTAATATTAATTTTATTATTTATTTCAATCGATGTTATAATATGGTCTTATATGATTTTGAAAAAACGATGATGTTTTTATTTTTGAATAAAATATAAATTTAAAGATATCATAAAATTTTAATAAATTATATCGATATTAGTGTCAAATTAATTATTTAAAATTTCTCATTTTTTGTGTAATTTTATAACTATAATTTAATTTAAGTTTAATAATATATTTTTGGTTTAATAATATAACATTTTATAAAAATAATAATTCAGTATTCTGTTAGAACTTAACGATTATCCAAATTATATTTTAGATTTTTTATATTTAAAATGCGATGTTTATCATGTATTTGATTATGTTTATCTGCAGTTAGTTACACCAATTCAGATATATATAGAGCTTTAATAAGTTGTATATACGTACAATCTACTTGTAATCTTGAGTTTTAAGTAATATGTATTAATAAACAGTACTTTACACATAAAAAGTGGTTTTTAAAATTTTTTGTCAAATGCTTTATAATATAGTATATATTTATTAAATAAAAAAAATCATTGTGTGTTTATAATTTTCGTCTTTAAAATTAGCAATGCATCTCCAGAAAAGTCGATACAGACATTTAGGTTTGGAAAGGTGGTATGATCTTCATCTATTTCTTGTTGGCTGAATGACTTTCTAACTTGTGGTTGCAAATTAACCGTCGACTTGATCAAAATCGTAAACTATTTTAGATAAACTAGAAGGGTACTCACACAATGCATTGAAATGTATCTTGATTTTAATGTTTTGTTTTATTTCTTTCTTTGTCTCAGTCGATGTTATAATAGGTTTTATGTGGTTTTGAGCAAACGATAATGTTTTTATTTTTGAATAAAATATAAATATGAAAATATCATAAAAAATTGAAAAAAAAAATATTGGTATTAGTATCAAACTGACTTTTTAAATTTCTCCTTTTTATGTATTTATTTATTTAATTTATTTATTTTTGGTTTAATAATATAATTTTTTATAAAGATAATAATTATATATTTTATTAGAAGTCAATGACTATCTTAATTGTATTTTAGATTTTTTACATTTAAAATGAGATGATTATTTTTTATTTGATTATGTTTATCCGCACTTAGTTACACGAATTCAAACATGAAGCTTTAATAAGTTGTACTTATGCACAACTTACTTACAATTTACTTGTAATCTTGAATTTTAAGTAATATGCATCAATAAACAATATTTCATGCATGAAAAATGATTTTTAAGAGTTTTTGTCAAATGCTTTATAATATAATATAGATTTTTACGCATTTACATTTTCTTGATGCAAATTTATTTAGTTTTATAAAAAGTAATATTAATTTGAATGAAAGCGTTTTCTTTAAAAAATAAGTATAACGCGGATATTTACATATGTTTTATTATAATTGGAAGGAGACTCGCATACCATAGCGAGATACATCTCAATATCATAAAGATTTAAAATAAAATATATTGTTTTTGTATAATTTATTTAATTTAATTTCTTTATTAAAATTTAAATTAGGTTCAATAACAAATTAATTTATTTTTGTTTAATAATATAATTTTTATAAATATAATAATTAAATATTTCGTTGGAATTTAATGATTATCCTAATTATTTTTTATATTTAAAATAAAATGTTTATCCTTAATTTGATTATGTATATCTATAGTTACACAAATTCAAACATGAAACTTTACTAAACTGTACCCACACACAGTTTACTTGTAATATTGAATTTTAAGTAATATGTATCAATAAGCAATATTTCATGCATAAAAAATGGTTTTTAAGAGTTTTTGTTAAATGTTTTATAATATAGTATAGATTATTAAATAATAATAATAAATATTTAAAATAACATCTATGTATTTATTGTGTAGGTAGCTAGTGAAATTCATCTAGATGATTTGAAAATTCCGTATCAAATAAGTTCATGTTATTATGTTCAATGAATTACAAGAAATATATCAACAAAATTAATTTTCATTTTGAGTATTTTTAAAAAGTGGTGTCTGATTGATTTGAGTTTGGCTCCAAATGTCAAAAGTACCAGAAGGTCTCAAGTTCAAATCTAAGGAGTAATAAAAAACTCCATTGTGGCCACGGAGGTTCAAATGCGAAGACTCCGAGCTATCTGCAAAACAGGTGGTCGTCCTGGGATTAGTCGGCTCGCATAGCGGGTTGGATATCCAGGTTAATAAAAAAAATCCAAAGGGTATTTTATTTATTTATTTATTTATATTTTTATTTAATTGTTTTATGTTACCACACAATACGAACGGGCAAGAAGAAAAGAAAAGGAATAGCAATAATAGTTGTCAAAATGTTGACAACTAAAAAGCATCCATTTTATGGATTCCATCATAGAAAGCAATTGTACTCATCATATGTGGCTTCTAACCTAACCAAAATATTTATTATAAAACATTTTTTTATCTGATTTGTTAGATTATCTGATATTTCATTACATATATTTATCGTAAACTTGCAGAATCTGTTAAAAAAAGTTCTATCAAATACTTCATTAGAACAGTTGTAAACATCCCAACAAGCCAATTTTGTTGTAACGTAACTGTATATTAATCGAAAAACAAGAAACTGATAAATGAACTACCATCGTTCACAAAACTGGCCGAAGTTCTCGTGTTCTTCTAGTAATAAAGAGAAAAGGATAACACGCATTGCCATCAAAGCAGCTAAGGTTGTAGCTAGCTTAATACCGTTTGAGTTAAATGTCTATTACTATGAGCCTAAAAAGTGTCATTGTCCTTTAAATATAATAAATGGTTTTATTTCTGTAAATGGTTTTTTGTAATTATTATCGGTTATCTTTCTTTGTCTATAAATGGGAAGCTAGTCTCCAACCTTAGACACCAACCAAAATCACAACCATGGCCATTTCCAAGCCTTTTCTTGCTCTTGTTCTTCTCTCCATGCTTCTTCTCGTTCAAGCTACTGAACTGGTATTCTTCCTCTCTTTCTTTATGTATTTCGATTACAGTAATTTATCGTGTTGTTTTTCATTGATTTACTCCGGTTCTTGATTCCACTTGCATGATGTTTGCTTTCTGTATGTACATGAAGGAGAGTTCATGAAATGGTTTTTAACAAGATGACATGATACAATCATTGTAAGAAGTATTTTCAAACACGTACACGGTGAAAACCATGTTGGGTGTTTAATCTTGTATGGGAATCAAAACCCTATGCAACCGGAGTAAAATGAATGGTTATGATATTTAAATATATTGTTACACAGTTGGGATTTATTTAAAATAACTTATAGATATGAATTTTATGTGCTACAATTGTATGTTTTTCGGTAAATCATCTAAAGTATGTTGATGATGAACATATATTATATGGTTATATATATTTATATATATATACATGTTCTTATACTTGATTTCTATTTCACAGGTGGATGGAAGTGATCGAAAGCATGGCTTTAAAATCAGTACGTAGCGTTATTCTTTTCATTTATAAGTTTTTTTTTTCAATATTATACGTAACTAGCACATCTTTGATAAATACAACAAAGTATGGTTTAGTTTATATTTAATGTAACGGATATTTCTCTCAATCGACATAACAAAGTTTCGAAAAATTTCGTTTTGTACCATTTTGACTGGTAAAATCTACTGATTTTTTTAAATTTTTTGACCTATAATCAAATTTAAAGTGGTGAGCATTAAGTTCTTATAGAAAGATCTTAAATTAATAATAATTTTGAAATTATGCAGATTGTGGAGCAGCTTGTAAGGCCAGGTGTCGGTTGTCATCGAGGCCAAACTTGTGCCACAGGGCATGTGGGACTTGTTGTGCCCGTTGCAGCTGCGTGCCACCGGGGACTTCCGGTAACCAGAAGGTTTGCCCTTGTTACTACAACATGACTACCCATGGTGGCAAAAGAAAGTGTCCTTGAAGCTTTGAAGACTTGTACCTTGTGCAACTTTGATGTGATACCTTCATTACACACACATACATATATGTATTGTATTATATATTTTCATGGGGTTTTTTTGTTTGTCTAAAGAGTGTTTGTTCTTTGATTTTATGAATCATTGATGTTTAATAAGTCAAATTCAATATAATTGTGTTGTAATAATTATATTTTGTACAATAAAAGTTGTATAATAAACCGAATTTGATGTAATTACACTTTGGATGTGTTCATTTTGGATATGATGTGATCATGATGAGGTCTTGATTAACACTGTTTTGTTTTACAACTCTGTAAGCGAATTTGGTTGTGCCGTAAGATTATAGCCGAGCAGATTATAACATTACATCATTTATAAAAAGTAGACTGATGTATTATATATGCAGGGGCGGATGCAATAGCCGGGGGGGGGGGGGGGGAAGGGACCCCAATCAAAAACTCAAAAAGAAAATTTTTTAGGTTAAAAATTAGGTTTTACATGATTTACCTTTCACTTTCATCCATTACATTTTTCCACGGGCCCCCAACCCCAATTGAAACCGTTACTCTAATAAATAAATCTATTGAAATCAATCAAAAAAAAAAACTAAAAAAGTTATTTGAAATCGACAAAAACACTAAAAAAACCCCCTGGAAATCAACTAAAAAACTTTAAAAATCCCTCGAGACGTAATTAGGTTAAAAACAAATCGGACGATTTTGCTGGCCTTTAGTCTACCTTAAAGGTGACCCAACTGCAAAAAATCCTGAATCCGCCACGGTATATATGTATCTTTATTTTTGAAAGGCAACAAATTTTATTAAAAAATGCCAACAATGTAACAAGAACAAATACCTACCAACACTTTCCGTGAGAAACGAAAAGAAACATAATAGTACGGCTGTACGGGGAAGGTTTGTCAAGACCAAAGAGTGTAAGGTTATGTTTGTTTTTTATTTAATGAGTTTGACTATCTACAGGATTTATTTGCTCAATCAAATTAGAGGGTAAATTGGTCATTTCTGTCATTTATATTGTTGATTCGGTAAATGAAGAAAAAACCAATTTAGTAAATTCATACAGACAACTTAGGGGGTGTTTGGGATTGCTTATAAAAACAACTTACTGACTATTCCAGTGTGGCACCGACAATAAACACTTTTGAGTGTTTGGATAAACAACTTATATCAGTGTCAAACATGTAATAAGAAGTTATTGAATAAGTTAAACCATTCTAACTTATAATAAGTTGATAAGGACTTTTATAGAAAACCAAAACTTTTATCTGATTATTGTATAGATAACAACTAAAATTGATATTCAATGTGTTTAATATGTAAATAAATTAAGACAATATTAGCATTGCAAATAAAACATATATTTTTATTTATTGAACACTTTGGTTTGGAGATGCTCGGTGTTAGATTCTCATATCGGTTAGAATTAGATAAATTTCTCTCTATATATGTTGGAACCTCCTTTCTTTATTCAAGGGCTTTTTTGGAGGTTAATATGAGGTTTTACATTTTCTCACATGGTATCAGAGTCAATGTCTACCACTTTAGGGACTCGATACGTTGGGGCAATCGTCTGACACTTCGCTCGTCTAGCCCCCTCTCGACACTCTGAGACAATAAGTGGCCGTCTAGCCTTTGTTGGAGCGGGGCGTGTTAGAGTCTCACATTGACTATAATTGGAATCTTTTGGAGTTAATCTGAGGTTTCACATATTCTCACACTCAACATTTTTTATGCAAGTTCACATTTAAAATTTTAAAGATAATCGGTTTTATAAAACACCTCAAATAAAGAATTAAGAAAACCAGATTCTATCATCTTGACTGCTTAATTATTACAAAAAAACACATTTAATTTTGTTTGCACGTCATTTTCTTTGCGGATCTACCGAGACTAATTGTTAATTATTTTGACGATAGATATTAGAGATGGGCCAGACCCAGCTCGGAACCCGTTATGACTTGACAGTTCAGATTAATTACAAGTTTTATGAAAACCTAAGACTCGAATAATGAACGGTTATTTATAGGACCAATTTTTGGTTGGGAGTTGGCCTGATGACTGATTTGGGCCCAAGACCAATTTGTGACCGTTCTGACCCAGTTTGGACTAAGGATGGCCAAAACAAAAACCAGTCTCGGATCGGGCTGGGCCTAATCGGTCCCAAGTTTTCTCGTAACCGGTCATAACCGGTCCTGGCGTAACTGGTCCCGGTCGAAAATGGTAGGACCAGTCAAGGTACTTCATAACCGGTTATAAGCCGCCGGTCCCGGCTTAAAAAATAAGATTTTTATTTTTATTTTTTTTAATGATATATATTTTTAATACATTATAAAATTTACAATTGAGTCACTCAAATACACTTTAAAAATGCGTTTTAATATAATTAAAATTACATTGTCTTATAAAAATACATTATAAAATTGATAATCACATATTTAATCCCATTTTTGTAAAGAATCTCGTACATTTTACATTGATTTTGTAGCTAATAAACACCGCCTTAATTTTAGTTATTAATTGATTAATGACAGGTTCCTAAAGGGTGGATATTTGAAGCAAATAGAGCATATACTTCGAATAGAGATCCAGGGGAGGCATATTTATAAAATGAACATGAGCATATTTTCTGAAATAGTATGAATCTGAGAATATTTATCAAATGGATTATAAACAAGGCATACGAATTCAAATACGGTTTAAATGAAGCATATTTATTCAAACGTTCTTGTGTGGGCTGCTGTTGAAGACGAGAATGGGCCCAAGAAGCCCAGATCACAGCCAGCCCGCTCAAGTCATCGTCGAGGTCCAAATCCAAATCACGTAGGTACGCGTGCGCCCCAAACCAATGCCAAAACTCGCGTCAAACACTGTGTTCGATCCAAGTTCGAATCCTGTTAGTGTCATTTTCTTAGTCAAATAGTGTCATCGTTTGAAAACTTTTCCCTATATCTTTTTCTTATAGCTAAACGGTGTCACCGCTTGAAAAAAATTTCTGAGTCCGTACCTGCATCCAATACGTATATAATCGACCATACTTGTCACTATTGTAATTTTAGTTGTAATTTAAGGTAATAGAATTTTATTATTTATCAAACTCGACGGAGTAAAGGGCTGTTTACTTGCGGCTTAATTAGGCTTATTAGTCTATTTGGCTTATTCGCACAGCTCATTTGGATTGTTTACTTACGGCTTATTTGTACAGAACATGACTTAATCGCACATATATAAATGATGTGTTGTCCTCATTCAGCCACAAAAATGACACCCCTACCCCTTATTTAAAGTACCGCCTCCTTCCCATATCAGACATCCCATCTTCGGCCTCTTTATGATTTTTGTTTTGATGTTCAAATAATTAATATTGGGGGGTAAATCGGTCATTTATGTTATTCAGACTGTTAGTTCAGATTAAAAAAGTAAACAACAACACCCATTTATCCAGACAGACAAATTTATTCATACAGGACTTAACAAAAAATTTGGTAAACAGCCTCTAAGTACCTTTGTCTATCTTTATCTTCATATTTAGTCACTTTCACAAACATTTAATCACTTTCACATGCATTAATATGTTAGAGTTTCGATCATTATGATAAAAGAAAACAGATAAATAAATGTAATTGAAGATATATGAATATTTTATTTTTCGTTTTCAGTATAACTTTTATTCTCAATGAAACTCAGTCCTAATAAGTAGACTTGAGATCACGTAAGACCAAGTTCTGATTAATTTTTATGTGGGCTGCAGCTCAATCTTTTTATAAGTAGGCCGAGTAAATGGATATTGAAACTCAAGCCCTATTTCTTTTGTTTCTTTATAAAGTCATCTCAACCTTTTGTCAATTGAACTACGGCTTCATTTCTTCTGTTTTATATATGATTTTAATGGTAATATGATGTTTATGACGTTTTTTTTTTTTTTTTGTATTTTGATCGAGTATTAGAAAATTATTACGTTAGTGCAAGTTGAATATATTAATATGCATTTCTTGAAATATAATAGTTAGTAGCAGGAAAAAAAAAGAAACAATCTACAAAGACTTGCAAATCTCGTTATTTCCTATATCTTGTTTGGACAATGTTTAACCGAAACAAGCATTCACTTCCTAAGAAGATGGAATGAGACATAAAGACGAGGATATTTTGGTCATTTTGATTTGTTAAAAAAGCATTTATATCTTGATGGCGAATTTGATATATGGGACATGATGGAATAAGAAAAACTTATATCTCGTATTTGACAAGCGGGAAACAACCATGATCACTAGTTAAGGCCCGTAAATGACCGTTTTGTGAAAAAGGAAGTAGGGGTGCAGAGAAAACCGATGTTCGCCTAGGCCTGGGATATGGCGGGACTAGGTGGGACAACTTTGTGATTTTTCGGTCCCATGTTTATCATAACACCTTATGGGCTGTTTGGATCATGGGAATTGAAAGGAATTGGAATGTCCAATCCTTTGACCAAATTCCAAATAGAGTGTTTGGTTCACGGAATAAAACTATTGAATCCTTTCAATTCCAGTCGATTCCTTCACGCACAGATTTTACAATTCCATGGCAATATGCAAGGATTTCAATTCCTTTCCTACAGATTCCTTCCCTAATCCAATTCCATGCAACCAAACGCAATCACAATGCATGGTCAAATTCCATCAAATTCCATTGCATTCCCTCAAAGTCAAATTCATTTGATGAATTCCAATTCCATCGAATTCTATTCTACGAACCAAACGCCCCCTTAGGGTATTCTCATTTAGACATATTTTTCTTATGCCCGAGACAAATGTATTTTTCGTCTATAATTAAAATCTAGAAGAAAGAACAATTTCATGATTTCTTCATATTGAGAAAGTTACAGAGTCTGTTATCTAAATGCATTAAATATTTTGATACCATAATTAATATTTGAACCTCTATAGTGATTTACAAAATATAGAAAACAAGATAAAACTCTTAATTTAGAGAATTCTGTTAAAATATATAATTAAAGAGGGGTAAATATTACTGTAATTGGAGTATTCACATGTTGATTCAATAAACAATTGAAGATCGGAGAATAATTAACAATCTGTATGCATATCATCTATCTAAAGACCCAGAAGCAATGAATCTCCTGGAACAAAAAGCAAAAAAACTCTTGTTGGAATAAGAAGTAAAAATGTTCAAAATCCATTACAATATTTATTACACTTGTGAAACATCTCAAATACGAATGAATTAACATACTATGTATCGCAAGAATGTTTCATTCAACCACAAGGGTGGTTCCTGATTGGTTTAAATTTGGCTCCAAATGTCAAAAGTACCGAGAGGTCTCAGGTTCAAATCCAAGGAGGAATAAAAATCACCTTGTGGCCACGGAGGTTCAAATGCAGTGACTCCGGGCTATCTGCAAAGCAGGTGGTCGTCCTGGAATTAGTTGGCTCGCATAGCGGGTCGGATATCCAGTTTAATCAAAAAAAGAATGCTTCATTCCCAGATCAACAAAGAACCCGAACTAAAAACAACAGATCAACAAAGAAAACTATAAATTTCAATATGGAGTATAAACCCTAAAAAGATGGATTTCGATATGGAAACATTAGCGTCAGTGACGTTGAGCCAAACAAAGGTGGGAACAACAATGTAGTGAATAGAGGACTGATGGGGAGGGGGTGCCAGTGTGTGAACAACGGTGAGAGGTGGCAACACAAAATGGCAGGATCGGTGAGTCATTGGGAGGCACGGGTAACAAGTTAAGGAAGCGGATGAGAGAGCATACGTGGATTAGGTTTAATCGTACATCAAGAAGACATGGATTATTTTACTGAACAAGAGGACAGTAAGAGGTTCTCACCTCTTATTACACACAAAAAAACAGTCTAAAAGCTCTAATCCCTTATTCAGTAAAACATGAGAGGTTAATAAGACATTTTAACAAAAACAACACCATAAAAAACAAAATTTTCAAAATTGATTGGAGGATGGTTTTTGGTCCAATCATACCTCGTAAAGCTTAATAGTTTTCGCTCCTTATGTTTTATTGGGAAGTCTAAAAGTTGGACCTCATCTCTGATAAATCTAGAAATCATTCTTGTATCTTACATTTTGCTTTGAAAATGGTCTTACATCACAAACTCGGTTAAAAATATGAGGGGTATTTTAGTCTTTTTTTTTACCTATTTATAATTTTCTTTTAGAATTTGAAAAAAAAACATATTATATAATATTATCTATATAACAGACATTTTCTTTTAAAAGTGACCAGAGCCATTTTTCACGACAGACCATTTTCAAATTAAAATGCAAACCATAAAGAAATCTGTTATCTAAGTGGTATTTTGATCTTCTTACACTTTTGTTGTCTTTCTTTCTTTTTGGTTTTATTAGATTCGTTTTTGATTTTATATCATAAACGCACAAACCCCACCCTACCCCCTTCTTTTCTCTCCTTTCCACTCACCGGCCACCTCAATGACAACCCCACCATTCCGCTCAATCATATTATCCCGCAAAACAAATCCAAATCCAATCACCTTCTTCGGAAAAACAAATCTAAATCCAAATCCAACACGAAAATCCCAAAACATACATAGATTGAAGCAAAATCCAAATACAATCTATAAACAGTTGTGAAATCGAGACACAACCCCACCGTCGGCCTCCCTGACTGATCGTCGACCTCACCACTTGCAACCTCCCCCCTCCCTCTCTCTCTTTCTCTCCCACCACACACACACACCCCCCTATATATATATATATATATATATATATATATATATAGATAGATAGATAGATAGATAGATAGATAGATAGATAATAAATAGGCATATATACACTAAATCAGAACAAATGACAACCATAAGACTACTAATGTAATATTTTCATACTTGGGATGAAAAGTTGATTGTAAGAGATAACTATGAGGACCAAAAGTGTAATATATTCTTTTAAAATTAAATTAGCTTAACCATTATTTGACATACGGGAAAATTGCATCAAAATGTAACCAACTTTCCCTTGATTCCTATTTTGAGGAACCAACTTTCAAAATCATCATTTTGGGGAACCAACTTTCACTTGATTCTTATTTTGAGGAACCAACTTTCACCTGATTCCCATTTTGGGGAACCAACTTTCACCTGATTCCTATTTTGAGGAACCAACTATCAAAATCGTCATTTTGGGGAATCAACTTGCACCCGATTCCTATTTTGGGGAATCAACTTGTAAAATAAATATAGAAAAATAACTAAAATTCGTTTTTTTAAATATTAATGCAATAAAATCTATTTTTCATTTCAAATCTCACGATGAAAATTGTTTTTTACTAATCTAATAAAAAAATCAATTTAACAGAAAAAAATTAATTGATGCAATAAAAAATAAATATTAAATATCACATTCAAGTTTTTTATATCTAACCTAAGTGTGTGTCAATATTAAAGTTTAAATCAAATTTGGCAAATCCAACCAAAAGTTTGATAAAGACCATTAAATTACCTGTTACCTATTCAACAGATCAACTAGACCCTTAAATAAACAAAAAGTTTGATAGAGACCCTTAAATGACGATTTTGAAAGTTGGTTCCCCAAAATAGAAATCAGGTGAAAGTTGGTTCCCCAAAAACTTGAATGTGATATTCAACCAGACCCTTGACATATTAGATTAACCATTTTTAAACTCGTTTATCGCCTATTTGTAAAAGTTACGAAACTACACTCTATGTTTTTCGCATTCCCTAATTTTGATCAGTCAAAGCCACAAGTATTGACCAGTCAAATCCGATCTTGACAGTATGAAATGTTAGAATCACTTCTTTACTTTTCAAATGTTTACCTACTTCTCAAAATAACCTTTGCCGATGTGTATCAGTGTATGTGTGTGTTTATAAAAATATGAGAGTGAATTCAAGTTTACTAACGCATAATAAAAATCAGAATAAATAAAAATAAATTAATATTTATCAACAATATTCTATTATATTATATTTGTTACGAGAATCATTACCATCGATATTGGTTCCATCTGCTGGTGTCTTTCTTTTTTAAAAACATTCCATTTTTCTAGCAAACTAAAAAAACAATTAATAATTAAAAATTAAAAAATGATAAAAGAAATTAAAAAAACTAAACTCTAGCGATAATAACCCCACACCTTGCAAAATAACGCATCGTAACACGTCATAACGTGTTGTAACACGCCATAACACGTTATAATGCAAGTCAAGCCTTACAATGGAGCCACGAGGGTTAACGTGACGACAAACCCAAATCTTGACGTCATACCATGGCATAACAAGTTTTTTTAGAACCATCAACCAATTCTTATATCTCTAAAACGATATTGATGTTAGAATCAAAGGTTTTATATATCCATTTTGGTCAATAAGTCTTAACCAACTTCTATAACTTCCAAAAACCAGCGAAAACGACCTTTCAAGACTCTCATTGCAACGTTAACTTCAACGTCGGAGACCTATCGACAAGAAACAAACCTCCGCTTTCGTCAAATCCTGAAGAACGGTGACCAAATTGCGTTTTATACTGGAGTTGCTGGGGTGTTTTCCCAGTATCGAGCAATGATGATTGTGCGTAATTTGAGCCGGCCGACATCCTGCCGTATGAATTTGAGCCGGGCGGCATCGTTTCACATCCACCGTTCGGCCAATTCTGGTATCGAGCTCCGGGTATAAGCGGACTCATCCACATACTTTGTTTAGGAAACAGCGGTCTTGCCCATTGTGAAGGGTCGTACAGCGGACTGCCAAAGAGCGGCAGCACTGGAACCTAATATCACGAAAAAATTAAGTATTTCATCTTCGAAATTCACCAAGATTTCGGACACAAAGTTAAAACATCACCTGTCCTGATGCAGCAGCCGAATGATTTTGCACTTGCCGCTGGTCTTGAAATATCGTTCTGTTTTCCGTGCTTGTTTTGTTTGAGATTTTATCAGCATTCCCGTTCGTGACATTCTCCGGGATTTTATCGGTTTTTGCATCTGTATAAGCTCGTTGCTTCCGTTCTTGGACTGAATTTACCAGTTTACCCTCAGCAAATTGAAGATCCTTGATAAATTGGCATATGTAAACATGTGAAGAGCATCTCTTTCTTAACTTGTTTCCATCAGTAACATCTTTAGAATCCTGCACAAATCACTCGTAAAAAACAAGAATCGCAACCGGCAAACATAAGTACACAAAAAGCTTCTACCTTTTTAACACTAAATGTGTTTCTTATTTCATTCAAATCTTCAATCTGCACACTTTCTTGAACCAAATCTTTCGGTTTTGAAGCGGCTGGGGATCCACCAGTCTTCGAGTCGGATTTTTCTATGAAAAGGCGATACACAACTCAGGTTTACAGAATCGAAAGAAAGAAAACAAGCGAAAAACAAGCAAGAACCTTGCAGATTTGAAGCTTCGGCTGCTGAAGTTTCGTTCTTTAAGTTAATATCCTCGGTGCTATTATCATTTCCGGGAATTATTCCAGCCATGGCAACCAAAGCCGCCATTGCTTCTTCTTCATCTTTCGTTATTTTCTCTGCATTCGACTCGGAGATTGTCGGGTGTTGTTCATCCTACAACATATATCAACAGATTGAAGGCTTCGCTAAGTGGCGAAAAATCCAAAGAAACTTAAGAGATTCAAGTTACTAACCACCCCAACTTTGAGCTTCCTATTACGATCTTCGGAATCCATTTCAAATTTACGAACCCTGTTCTTATTATTTGGTGAAGACGGAGAAACAGATTCGTATTGACGTTTCTTCATTGCTGTAGATTCAATTACAAAATATCAAACTGTTACAATTCAAAACCTTAATCTGCAGACATGAATCTTGATTCGCTCCAAAAACAAATACAAATCTTGATACCATAGAAAGAACCCATTAACGATACGTAAGAACCGATTAAAGATATGCAAAGAACCCATTAAAGACATGTAATTTCATCAAGAATCAACCATCTAAATTTGGAAAAAAGAAAATTTAAACAGTAAAAAACCCTAAATTTGAGCAAAGAAAGCTTCAACTACATCATTGGCAAAGCACCATTTCAAGTTAAACAGACCTGAGCGTAGTTTTCTTGGAACAGATGTATGATTAACGGTATCATAATCATCGAAAAACTGCAAATTCAAAAGGGCAACCATAAACCTCATGATTAATGAATAAACCCAAATCAGAATACGAAAACTCAAGCTCATACTAGTGTGTGTGTGTGTGTATGTATATGTATGATTCTGTATCACCTTTTTGGGAAGCTTGACTCTTTTGCTACTGGTAGTAGTACTGGTAGATTGAGAAGATTGATTCATTTCAGCCATAGAACTCAATTTTTTCAGCTTCTTTGGTGATTTATGCAAAATTCCATCACTATCCCCACCTTCTATTTCAAAAGAAATAATCAAATAAATCAAAAAGAGCCAAGAAAGAGAGAGAATCAGAGGAGCCCATATGAACAGGATAATTCAAGAAGGACTGGGGATGGATAAAAACATAGAAAAGGACGAATTTTTTGCTTGGATTATTCGTTTTCTTCGTCACCAATTTTGTTGGGTTTTTGCTGAATTGGATCAAGAAGCAGGGGTAGTAACGTCAATTCAATTGGAAGTTGTGAAATGTTTACCTGTTTGTCGCGTCGCAGATGAGAATCGACTGGATCCTTTCGCCATTTCTGCAAAATGTGAACATATAATTCACATTAAATCAACTGAAAATCGTGAAGGAAATCAACCATTTCATGAAAAATTGGGATTTCATCTGAATTTTTTTGAGATTAATTGCACAGATGAAGAGGGGTTTTAATGGTGTTTTAATTCATTCTTCATACATTTCTATGTATGAAGAATGAAATTTTCCAGGTATCTCTGCGCATCTTTCGCCTCACGAGTAAAACTCTCTCTAAATATCTCTCTTTTCTCTCTCACACACTAAACGCACACACACTTTCTCTCTCAAGAATTTTGTGCGATTGGTAAAGAAGAAAGAAAAGTGCAGTTGGTTGTTCTTTTTGTACTCGGAGAATTGGGTTCTTCGCAAAATATCCCCCTTTCTCTCTCACACACACAAACACATTAAACACGTAATGATACAACAGGCAGATGAAGAAATGTGAAACAGATAATGAGCGACAGTGATAAATAGAGAAAAACCCCCAGGAGATGTTCTTGAAAGAACCCATTGGATTCCACAATCTCACATTCCATATATGAATTGCAGGATTTCATCGAAGATTTCAAGGAAAACCCAAATCGTATATCAAAAAATAGAAAAATTGCCCAATTCAATTGATAATCGTAAGAACAGATTAAAGAAGCAAAGACTTAAGAAATCGTATGATGATGATGATGAAGATTGGAAGAAATTAAGAAGAAGGGAGATGAGGATTTACAGTGCGAGAAGTGTTGGTTTGTGGTGGTGGGATCAAATCAGAGCATTAATGGAAGATTTCTCACACACGAAAGCACACGGTAGAGAATCTCTCTCTCTTTCAGAATCCGTAACAGACGAGGAACAAAAGGCGAAAAAGAAAGAGAAGCTGCAAAAATCACACAACGACCTCTCTCTCTCTCTCTATATATATATATATATATATTATATACATATAAAATACAAGTACAAGTGTAATGGAAGGATAAAAAATACCAATAGAAGTTAATACTATAATTTATTTGATATCAAAACATATCAAATTCAATAATTTACTGGATAAGCGCTTACTTGGATAAAAGTTGTCATCCTTACTTATCGGATAAGACTTTTCATCATTCTCATCACTTTTACCCGGTAAGATTCTTAACTCTTATCATGTTTATATGATGAGGAAATTTATAGCATTAAAAGATTGTTTATTAGTACAAGTTTTATTTTAAAGTTCAATATTTATAAAATATAATGTTATATTAGTATTATTTAATATTTATCGTGTATTAGAATATATTTATATGTTATTTATTAAATTTATGAATTCAAAAGGTAAACTTTTAAGAAATTGTACGTATAACAATAAGGGCGTTTGGTTCGTCGAAATCCGTCGGAATCTGATGGAATTGAAATAGTCAATTTCGTTGACCAAATTCCATTTCAACATTTGTTACCCATGGAATGGAAGTGAATTTCAAAGATTCCCTCATTTGGGGATTTCACCATTCCTTCCTAAAACTGATGGAATTGAAATCCATTACATTTAAAAGTGTGTAAATGACAAAAATACCCTCATGATACTTCCAGTTTTATCATCGATCGATTGGTGCTTGCTTCCAATTTTTGCTCATTGTGTAAATCGATTTCTGCTTGCTTGCTTCCAATTTCTGCTCATTGTGTAAATCGATTTTTGCTTGCTTCCAATTTCTGGTTATTGATTTCTGCTTGCTTTCAATTTCTGTTTATCGATTATTGGTTGCTTCMAAGAAAACGAAACATCATTACAAGATCGTTAAAAAAGAAAACCCAAATATGAGATGTAGGTCTCTGATTCAAGGGACGTTATGAGATGCAGGTCTCTATTTCATAATGTTAGCAAGAGACGACGTCGCCATTACACAAGGTCGTCGATTTTCCGTGAAAAATTCTCCGACGTCTGTCGTTTTGCCAGAGACGACGTCAATCCTGATGTTTTCTGGTTCTGGGTTGCCGTCGACATTACACAAGGCTCTTCGATGGAACAAAACATTTGGTTAAAACTGATAACATTCTATTTTAATTCCTTCTAGATTTCAAATCCTTTGACAGATTTCATTCCTTCATAAACCTAATATGTTAATATTGTAATATTTAATGTTGACTTTTCTAACTATATTATTAAAATAATATAATGATGAATCACCATGTTATCAAACACAAATATATTTATTGAAAACAGTCACATCCTATTCATCAAATGTTACAAGATCAACCTGTTATCTGTCAAAATAGTTTCAAAATAACTTTTTTTTAAAACTTATAAAAAATTCGTTACACTAAATAACAATTAAAAAACTCCATCTGATTTTTATACATTTTTCTCTTACCGATAAAAATGGTCGTATCTTTAATATGTCATAAAAGTATGACTTCGTTTTGAGATCCTTTTATATTGATTGAGAGAAAAAAACCGTTACACTAAATTGACAACTCAAGCAACATTCGTTATATTTTGATATATTCTGCATCATTAATAATCAATTAGAGTTGTATTCAACTCTGAACTTTTTTTTTTATTTTGGAGTATCTAACATTAATTATATTATTTCAATATATTTAATATCTTGACAAAAAAAATTAAATGAATTTAATTTTTTTTCTATCTATTTTAAAATAATTAAAAAAATAAGGAAACTCTCTCTTTCCATTTCAACCTCTCTCATATTTTCTTTATTTAAAAAATAATTGTTTCATTTGTTTTTTTATTTTGAGTTTCACTTTTTTCTCTCTCTTTCCTTTTTTTTTTATTAACCTGGATATTTAAACCGCTATGTGAGCCAATTAATCCCAGAACGATCACCTGCTTTACAGATAGCCCGGAATCACCGCATTTGAACCTCGGCGGCCATAAGGGAATTTTTATTTCCTATAAGAACAAGTGGAACCCTCGTTTACTATTTGAAAGTCCCTTAGGAGAAGATGATGTTCCATCATAAATAGAAGAGAAATGATCCAAATGTAGAACTCTTACACGTCTCTTCAAACGAAGGCTAAACGGGTACATATGGTCTTGGAGTGTTGAGAGAGGCTAGATGGGAGAGGGGGTCAAATGAGTAACAATTGTCCGAAAGTGTCGAGTCCCCTAGAGTGGTATACCTTAGTTCTGATACTATGTTAGAATATGTGGAACCCCCAATTTACTCCCCACAAGGGCCCGTGAAGCGAGAATGGAGGTTTCATCATATATAAAGGAGGAATAGTCCAAGTGTAACCGATGCAGGACTTCAACATCCCCGCCCCCCCAAACTAGGCATGGTGATTTGTCTCACCCTGTTAGGAACCCGATAGATTCATACGTTAATATATTCCTACTAATATATTTTTTTTTCATTTTTTGTGAGTATATTCATACTAATATGTGAATATAGGCACTAGGGCATTAAAATTTCTAAGATATATATATATATATATATATATATATATGGGGGTCGTTCAAGGGAGAATTCAGTATTTTATGAGAACCTGATATTCAATCTCAAACACAAATCAAAGAATAAATTAGGAAATTAACAATTTTGACTTAAAATTGTAATTAAAGAGCATTAGGTGTTTTAGAAATGTTATCTCTCCTCTCCCCTCTGGCTTGAACATTCTATTGTGATACTCATTATATACAGTTTGTGATGCATACATTAGGATCATTTTCTCTGTATATACCCACAGATACCTGTTGATACCCACTCTGATCACAATGATGGATTTGTGAAGCGGGGATAATCACCAGAGCAATATATGAGTTTAAAGATATACGTTTTAATATATGAGATAACACAGTATGGTTACTATAACTCTGTAAATCCACTCGATTAACATAGGGGTTTCAAGATATGGGATAACACGTTGTGATAACTGTAGCTCCACCGTAATCCCACGTAAACCCATTCGGTTAACATATGAGTTTCAAGATATGAGATAACATACCGTGATAACACACTCAATCAATTGTGAAAACTTCACCGTAAACCTGTGGGCAGAAAATGATTTAACTATTGTCATCAATTGGAATTTTGCGGAATAGGTGAAGATGGAGAGAGACTTGAGGAAACGACAATTGGGATCTGGTATTGAAGGAGAAAGAAGATGGTGAAGGAGTCCGATATGGGGTGGTTGTAAAATAGTTGGGAGAGAGGCGAAGGGAGAATGGAGAGAAAATAAAGGGAGGATTTTTAGAGATTTATTATTATATTATGAGAAAATTGAGGGAAGAAATTCGTATGACTAAATTACCCTTTTTACCTTGTTTAAGAAATATAATTATCTCAAATGAGTGGCTCATATTGGATCTCATGATCACAAATTATGAAGTTCTTATTTGATTAGACCCTTATATATATGTTCAATTCTTTTTTACTGACTTTTCAAAAATTCAATCACGAGTAGATTCATATGTGTATATATTCATACTAATATTTCTACTATATCATAAGACGTTTATTTCATTTCTTAGAAGAGAGTTGCTATTCATACCCCCTATAGGAACGGATAAGCATAGAATTCATCTTCTTAGAATATCTTAAAGTTCAAGTTTACAACTTATTATTATATGCATAACTTTTTAAAACTCTATGCTTAAACTCTGTAAAACTAATCAAATCTTACCGGGTAAGTGTTGTCCGGGTAAGAGTGCTGACCCGGATAAGTACTATCCCGGTAAGTGTTGTCCCGGGTAAGAATGTTTACCAAATGTTTTTGGTAAGTGCTTATCAAAAATATAATGACCATTATAACCCTATTTGTAATTATATATTGAATAATATATGATTATTTTTGTTATTAATAGTAGCTCACAAAATCAAAATCACTTCATTAACCGTAAAAGATATGAAAATAAACATAAACCCAACAATCTTTTCATTCAAATAATAGCATTAATCCAAGAAAGATTCAAATCAAAACTAGACCCTTTTTGAGGATCTAGCTAACTCACTTGGAGGTGGCAGAGGTGGTGGCGCCGGCAGTGCTGGTGGTGGTGTTGGAATGGATTTTCCGGCGTTACTCGATGGTCCGGTGGAATCCATTTATTGGGTTCAAAAACCCGATAAACAGTTTCGGGTGCCAAAGCTCACCAACAGCCACAAGTTGAACCAAACAAGTCCAAATCAAAGTGCTGGAACAAACCCTAATGAACCAAACTTGTAACCTAGTTCTTTGAATCACTTGGGTTGGTATTTTGGCCCACCTCACCACCTGCACACTACTGTTCTCAGATCTAACATCCATTTCATCTCTTCACACCACATCTCTTCTTCATTTTGATCAAAACATTGCCTAAAGATTCTCAAACTCTACACTAAAAACTCTGGCTTAAAAATGTCAAATTCTAATCAATAAGAACCCTAAATGAATAACCCTAATATAACCTCCAGTTGGATGCTCAGAAAATTGTAAAAAGATTCAAAACTTTCAAACCTGAAGCTAATCAGAATGACCTAATTCGTAGCACGAAGTGGGTGGTAAGGAAATTGCAAATGAAATGTATCATATGGGTTTTTACTGGAACAGAGTAAAAATCGATCAATCAAGTACGAGCAGAAGTACCGTTTCGAGCAATGAGGGAGCGATAGGGAGACGGGAGAAAGTACCTTTTCGAGCAGCCAAGGGAGGATGAGCGATGAGGGCTGAGGACCGATCAAGTGGTAGCAGGGAGAGTTGGGACCGGAGAGGGAGGAGGATGAGCAGAGAGGGAGCGACTTGGTGAAAATGGTGAAAAGGGGGCAAGTATGGAAAGGGAAAATCTGACCAGGGTAAGCATGAAATCGATGCGGGC